AATGTATTAAATTAGATGGTACCAACTAATGTCTTATTAGAAGTTATTACATAAAATGCCTTCTTGGTTTTAGTTATGCTTTTCATGTTAATTTTAATGCTAATCAAGCATTAAAAAACCTTTTTTTATTTGAAGTTATATAATGAAAGATAATTCTCTTCTATCCTATAACTTACCCACAAATACGTCATACAATTCAAACTAAAAACCTTTTATTTTTATTGAAAAAATTATCACTAAACTATTTAGGTTGTTAATACTATTAAAAACACATTAAAAATAATAAGATATACTCATCATGAAAAAAAGGTAATATTATTGTCACATCTTCAATCGTTAATGTCACATCCTTTTATTTTAATTGACTATTATAACCTTTAATTTATTAAAAAACAAAAAATGAAAAATTTGAAGAAAAAGTATAATGTAAGAATATAATAAACAATTATATTAAAAAAATATAATAATAACCCCACCTATGAAATTGTAATCTCAAAACTATAAAAACTGTAAAAATCTATATCAAATTGATTAAGTTACGGTTAAATTAATTCATAATAAAAATATTAAAATTTGAAATCATAGATATGAATATAAGATTATTAACTAACAAATAAAAAAAAACGAAAAGCTAATTTGAAAAAATTAAAACACTTAATCTTTAATTATTAATAAATTCCTTAATTACCTCTATCTAAGTGGCACTAGTAGTCTAGGTGGGTTAACAACGTGCACCAAAAACCTTAACTTATACCAAGATTTAAGTCCTTTTAAAATAATTGTAATCTTTTTCCTTTCACAAAAAACTTCTCCTTGTTAGAACAAAAAAAAAGGTAGGGGAGGGGGGGAGGGTTGGAGTCCAAGTGTGCCACAGAAGGATTCTAAAAGAACTCTTCCCAAAAGCCTCAAAAGCGCCACCAATTGCCTCGATCTCTAACATATAAAAAACTAATGTTATATTAATAATAGAAGAATTACAGTGTTTCTATGGCTTGTCGTATAAATATTACATGAAAATAAAGAAGTATAATTTATAGGAAAATGATTATTATGTCTTTTAGTTTAATATATTTATTAATATTTATTTAGATATTAAATTTTATAGTAAAACTTTTTTATTTTAAATTTAAATTTAAAAATAATAATTTTTTAATAAATATATTATAAAATATATTAAATTAAAAGACTTATTAATCTTATTTTAACCGATAACATAAATTATAATTACACCCTTTACAAATTAAGTTAAGCATTTAAAATTGCTAGCAATCAAATGCCTACCAAATTATGCCAATAGATAGGTCTACCCAACCTAAACTAATATAGGTATCCACACAAAATCACTGCCCTGAGACATGATTGCATGGGATAATTTCATTCAATTGAAACTTAATTGAAA